AGATGTGTATAAGAGACCCCCTCACCCCTCACCCCTCACCCCTCACCCTCACCCCTCTTAATCACCATTCAATTGACGCCGGTGTGACTCAATCATTGACACGCCATCGTCGGTGACATCATCAAATGATACGCCTGCGTAATGAAGCACCACTGGTGCGGCGTATTACTGAGTATTAATTTAATATAATAATTATTATTTATAAGTTTATTTAGCAGTCGTCACATGATTATACACTGAGAAAAATAAATGGGTTTCATGATCCCAGTTGTGACTCACTTTCTCTCCATCAGCACTAGCAGAGAGTGTACGTAGCACTGATACGCCCTTTTGTCGCGACAAACTGGGTCAGGATGACTCAGTTTGGGCAGAACGACTGGGCAACAGCTGTATCGCTCTATTAACAATTCCCCTTGTATTTCTTTGAGTGTAACTCTCTGCCAGCGGCACAAAATCAACAACAAAACAAATTAATTTCGCGTCAAGTTGACGCAATAATCGATGATAATGATAAGGATGAGCGATGATAAGGGAGTTATCACTCAGAAAAATAAGTACTGAGTGTTTGTTAACAGTAAAGATAAGAATTTTGTTAACATTGAAGATAAGGATTTTGTTAACATTAAGGTTTAATATTAAGCTGATATGAGGCTCATATTCGCACACTTTATTGCCCGCCGTGTTTGAGTTGAACTTGGGTGTGTGTGACGACGTGTGTGACGACGTGTATGACGTGGTATGACGACGTGTACGACGACGTGTATGACAACGTGTATGACGACGTGTATGACGTGGTATGACGACGTGTACGACGACGTGTATGACAACGTGTATGACGTGTATGACGACGTGTATGACGACGTGTATGACGACGTGTATGACGACGTCTATGACGACGTGTATGACGACGTCTATGACGACGTGTATGACGACGTGTATGACTACACGATTTAATGTGATGATATAAAATAAAGGAAATGATACCTAATATTATGTATTACCTATTGTATCGTTTTTTTAATGAATTTTAACCATAAATAATTTACAATAATCATAGAGATGTTTAACATAACAAATAATCACTTATACATAAATACATTATTACAATTAATATCAATATATGCATTACAGAAATTACAAAAACGGTTTCACTGTAGTGAATATGTTGACGTTATATATTAATTGTGTAACTATATTATATAATGTCACTATCCTGTATGTGTCCCTGCATGGTGAAAACAATGTTAAAATTAAACTTATTTATATGAATATTCATCAATATGTTTTAATAGCTATACACATAGCTGATAGGGAAGCTATATACAATGATTGCTATCGCACTTCTATCATTTGTAGTCCGATCTTAATATGCATACCTTTATCCCTATTAAAAATTATCCCCAACATATTGGTGGCCACCGATATGCCTCTTGTAAATTTAACTTGGATTCTTATTACATTATTTTCGCTAAAACCAAATTACATATACAGCAGTTCGCGCGGATTGCTTTTGGCCAAAATTTGCATAAAGTGAGTCAAAACAACCCACATAAACCTGGCACCGGTGTTAATGAAGCCACTGCCCAGGTAATTGGTAAGCGACAAGTTCCACTATTGGCAAGCGACATGTTCCAATATTGGTAAGCGGCTTAGAAGCTCGGCCTAAGCCACACAAATTTCATGCCCGTATAGGCACGGTGCCCATATCTGCATCAGGGTATCGGGTATGTTGTATCTCACTTCATGGATACCCTGCTGGGATACCCAGTCTCTGATGATACCTTAATACCCTGCTACAGTGATACCCAGTCTCTGAGGATACCTTAATACCCTGCTACAGTGATACCCAGTCCCTGATGATACCTTAATACCCTGCTACAGTGATACCCAGTCCCTGATGATACCTTAATACCCTGCTACAGAGATACCCAGCCTATGATGCTATTTATATCTTGGTGTACTGATACAGTAATAAGCAACATCTAAATAACCTAATTACCAGTAATCATCAAAATCACTCGTAATCACCCCAATCACCTGTAATAATCCCAATCACCCCCCTCACTTGTATTCACCCTAAATACCTGTAATAACCAATCTCATGCCAATCATTATTTTGTAATCACCACAATCACCTGCAAATACCCAAATCACCTGCAATCACCCTGGCTCCGCATGGAATGAAAAGGTTGAAACAAAGCAAGTATAATGTCTGTGTGCCGTGCAACGGAGTGGGCAGCTTCATAGAGTGGGCAGTGTAACAGAGTGGGCAGTGTAACAGAGTGGGCAGTGTAACGGAGTGGGCAGCTTAATAGAGTGGCAGCTTAATAGAGTGGCAGCTTAATAGAGTGGCAGCTTAATAGAGTGGGCAGCTTAATAGAGTGGCAGCTTAATAGAGTGTGCAGACTGATAGAGTGTGCAGCCTGGTAGAGAGGGCAGCCTGAAAGAGTGGGCAGCCTGCTAGAGTGGGCAGTTTAAGTGAAGACCTCCACAATAAAGACAGTGAGCGCTCACAAGACTCTTAAGACGGTAAGACTGCCGATAACGACGTACACTTTATACCGTCTTTGTACCGTCTTTGTAGCGTCTTTTGTAGCGTCTTTTGTTCCATGTTCATGGCCACCAGGAATGCGGGAATGGGAACGATGAAGGAGTGATATTTGCGCTGAAATTCACGCCAGGAATTCGTGAGAAAATCGCGCAAACTTTGGTTAAAGTGAAGCGTCGTGAAAAATTTCACTTCATCATTTTTTGAGAGTAAATTTCGTTATTTATCGCAAAATGATGAGATTAATAACAAAATAACATTAATTCGTGATTTAATTTTTTAGCGTTTAATGTTTTCATCGTTAAATCTTTTTTGTAAACGGATTAAGAAT